AATAAACATTTATAAAAATATAATAATGCAAATTGAAAACAACAAAACTAAAAATAAAAAAAAAAAAAAAAAATAGAAAATAATATAATAATCAGTATACATAAAAGTGAAAGATTAAGTAACTTACTTATTGGGGATTAAAATTTATTCTTTAATTTTTAAGTTTTATTTAATATACTAATTCTTAATAGTGTTTTAAATCAATTTCAGTAATATTTTTCTAATTCGTTTCCAATTTACGGTATTTTTATTGTCTTCACTTAAATAACATGATGCCAATCTAAAAAACGACATTTTCAACAAAAAATAATCCATTATTTCTAAATATATTTATTTTTATTTTTTTTTTAAGTTCGAATACTTTATATGCGTAAAACAGCGTTTTTCAAGATGGCTGACGTTTTAGAAATCGCGCCAACAATTGCGCCAACGTAATCGCCAAAAATCCGTGCACCGTCTGCCAAAGTAGCACCCGTTAAATTATTACTTTCATAAATAGAATAAAAACATTGCGCAACATTTTGGATTAAAAATTACTTAAATTGAATATCGATTAAAAACATCATACCAACGTTTAAAGAATTAAATTACTTAAATACTTAAAATAAGTTTTATAAGATTTAATTAATTTAACATTAAAACATATGCGGCAATAAATATCTCAGGAATTTTTTAAAATATTGTATTAATTTTTAATAAAAATGAAGCATAATTATGAAGTAAAGGAAATTTATATACTTACATTTTTTTAACCTGTCTTATATTGATAAGTACCACACAAAAAAAATAAAAATAAAAAAAAAAATAAATAAATAACAAAACGGTCCGCTAACGATCTTCATCGTATGATCCACATCTCTCACACTTCATTGAAGAAGCAATTACTATGTTTTCTCAAAATTTAAAATAAATTTCCTCTTGACGCTATTAACAATTTATAAATAAATCTTTGATTAGGAAAGCCAGGTTGGCCAAAATAAGGCCTCAAACGGCAATTTTTTTATTCCGATACCAATAATTCTTGGTAATTTACATAATTCGAACAACAATAACAACATTCATATTCGAAACGGACACATTCGCTTTGAAATCTAAGGAATTCGAAGAGATGAATAATAAAATTTTAAAATGGCGCGGTAATGCACAAATATTCAATAACCAATCAGGGAGCTGGTTACATCACGTATAGCATTAAAATTATTTAAATAATCATTCATAATAAAATCATATTTAAAAAAATGCAAAATTAAAATGTGTTTTAATATTTAACAGCTATAAATAATGTTTAAAACATAAGATTAAATTTATAGATATTAAAACCAATTACTTTTAAAATAATGTGACGTCATTCATTACATCATTCACAACATAAAATTCCATAAAATATCATAAACAATAAAATTTTTATTTCAAATAAAAATGCAAAATTAAATTCATTTTTATTATTTTGAAGCCATAAATAATATTTAAAACACGGAATTTACGCATAATAAAACGCATTATTTTTTAAATAAAATGACAACAAAGTATCGGTTACCATAAACAACTTGTCTAGCAATGGGTTTACCATAAGTCGTATCACTCGCCAAAAAAACATCGCCAAAAAATCACCAAAAAATCGCCAAAATCCGTGCAACCGTCTACCAAAGTAGCTCCGGTCTCTGAATGGAAGTGTTTGGAATATACAAAGGAGCGTTGATAATTTCTCGTAAGATTTTATTTTGTAGAACTTGCAATTGTTTTATATTGGTTTTAGCTGCATGTTCCCAGACCGAAGCTGCGTAAAGAAGGGCTGGACGAAGTGTGGACAGATATAAAATTAATTTGTTTGTTGCAGATAAGTTGCTTCTCCTACCAAGAAATGGTCGCATAGTAGCTAAGGCCCAAGGCCCAAGGCGATATTTTCCGGAGTACCTTTGCAACTTAATGCAATTACCTCCACAACTTCGTTAAGAAAACTGAAGTAATTAAGAAAAAGCACTGGCTAAAGGGTAATGAAGGAAACCATTAAGGGTTTACGGGGAAAGAAGTGAATTAGGAGTCCACACTAAGGACGAAAAAATTCTTTCTGCTTTCAACCTGTTTTACCAGATTGAAAGAGAGAGAGGTGATGATTAGTAGCTAAGGTGATTTTAAATTTTTGTGCTACTGAACGGAAGTGGGTTCTGAAGGTAAGGTTTTGGTCCAGGGTAACTCCAAGATATTTGGTTTCATTAATCCAGTCTATTTCTTCATCAAATATTTCGGGAAGTGGAGGGTAATAGTTTATGTTTCCCTTACAGCTGACCCGTTGAATATGGTTATTGTCGTACGGAGTGGAATTAATGGTGATAAAAGGAGAGAAGCAGCCTAGTAGTGAAAATAAAACCAAATCTCTGTTTCTTTATTCCTGATAACATCACATACATATTTAGCTGCTATAATTCTATTTATATGAATATATTCTCCCTTCCTTTTTCTTGAAGTTTCATACAGGAATCGTGATCTGCTGCAATAGTGGAATTAAATTAATATTTAACGGATGATTATTTATCTAGAAGTAATGAATTTTGTGGTGGAGGAAGTCCCAAAAGCTAATATATCCCATATTGTATAAACTTGTTCTAAAACGATTATACATCCCGGCTACTTCAGCGTTCTGCGAACGGATCTTCTCAAAAACAAACCAAATACGTACTGAGAAAGAAAATTTAAGAAATTTCGGAGCCCTCCGCATTATGGAAGACTTCTAATAGGCTTCCTTTTAAAATTATACTTTCTATGGTATGGTCCACCAGTAATCCTATTTTGCAAGATTTCAAAACTACTATTAATATCAGCGCTGTATATAATCAGTTACTTTAGCCGGTATCTCATCCACATTGCTCTAATACGCAGTTTTCAACATACACTTAACACCATTTTATTGCAAATTCCTTCTTCCTCCAGACATTCCATTTACTTGCTGAGACAGAAAACAAGTAATATAAACTTTTTTTAAAATAAATTACTACTTAGGTCAACAAAGAAAAATTTTATTTTAGTTACTTTTTATTAACATTATTAACATTTTTTCGTTTCTGATTTATGAAGCGGATGGTGGTCTATAATTTTTCATTCTATCCATCTCTTGTAATGCTTCATTATTGCAAGGAACCTTTCCAGTGAGTTTCGAGCAGTCCAGCTCTTCAATTAATATTCCATCTAATGATTTCACAGGACTCAAGGGCAACATATGCTTGACCTGCTGCGAAGAATTTTCCTAGGAAGCTTTTCTTGGCGCTTATGTTTTTCTTTCTCTAATCGACGCTTGCGTTGTGTTGTAGTTTCATTTCGCTATCTCCGTTTGTGAAGCAAGGGACATTTTAAAGGGTTATATTTTAAACATATATTATTATCAGGTTAACATAGAAATACGGGAGAATTTTCGCTACATAATGAGACATTTGCTTCATCCAACTCTATAAAACTACAATTCTTTAATTCCATACACTTTAAAAATCTTTAAAACTTTGTCTTAGTGTTGCCACTTATTTTTGTTCAATATTACAATACCATTAATCACAGTCATGTACTATTATTATAAGTTGTTTTAAAATTAAATTTTACAGCGCGTGAGAATTCTTAATAAACGGTCATTACTATATTTGTAAGTCTTATATATAAAAACAGCATATCTTTAGTTCCAATAAAAAGGAATAACTAAGTAGGATAGGAATTGACTTTAATATGTGAAAAAACTGTATTAACATCAAGTGCCATCCACTGCAAATTTTAGAAGAATGTATTTGAACTTAAGTGGATGAATCAAAAGCATTTTATTAACGACAGAAAATTTGAACAAGATATAGGGAGAGTGTGAGCTTAATAGTAAGAATTTAAAAATGTTGGTACTACTACTAACTATACTCCACCAAATGTCAAACGGATTGCGTATTATTACAGAAAATCAGCTAGCGTGCAATACTGCTTTTAACAAAAATACTGCTTTGGGAGTTAAATTCTACACCCTTTTTTCTGGGACATATTAAGACATCTCCATACCGTTTTTGAGATCTTTTATAGTAAATAACCTAATTTACGCTGATATAGAATTCTGTAATTATTTTCTCCATTAAACTAGGACATGATTTTCCTAACAAAAATCACTGACATAATCATGCATTACTACAGAATACTTAAAGAGAAACCTTTGAACAGTAAATAACATTTGTTCTCCGTTACTACAATTTGGCACATACTCCAAGTAATTTAAAAATCATTTAAATTTTCTTAAAAATTATTTATTACTTATATATATTTGAAACACAAATGTTACATTCCATACAAATATAACTTGTTTTATGCTGCATTTCGAAATAATAATTTATTACATGTTAATACTCTTTGAAATTTATTATTTTTGTATTTTAATTTACATTTAAATTCTGACATTTAAATTTCACTTAACTCATTTTGAATACTAAAATGAACTATCTATTCTGCATCCTTGTAACTTTACATTAACATTTTAAAATGTTATAGGAGTATGAACTAAATAATTGAATAATTTAAAAACGACTTCTGTTATTTTTACAGCAGGCAGGGTCGGACCTAGGGTTTTTGATGTTCGGTGACTGCGAGTTCTAAATTCTGCCGCGAGTTTGTTCTTCCTTTTTAAGAGTTTTGCCACTTCTAAATTCTGCCACCCGGTACGACTACACGGGTTGCACAGGTTCCATTACTTGGTTTTATCATCTGATTTTCGAATTAAATGAATACAGATTAATTACCCATTATCTGAAAATACGATGTCTCTAGCAAACGATAATATAAATTAAATGCAGCACATTTCGATTCTCGGTATTTTTCCTGACATTATGAATTTTTCTTCCATATTAAAATTCTGAAATAAATTCTATTAATAATTCACTTATTCTTTCCTAATTATGCAATACCTGTACTGCTTTACGCGTTAAGGTATATTAATAATATGGTAATTCTGTTTCGAGTTTACTAAGTAAACCAACAATCAATTATAGAAAGATGCGATATTTATTCTTTTTCATGACTAAATAAAAAACAATACAATGAAATTTTTACATTGAATGCCCAAAATGGTATAAGGAAAGCAATTTCTTCAATTACGAAAAGAGAAAGTACATATTTCAAATGGGGAAGTTAAAACACCTAAAATCCTTGAAGAAGCAAATTCATAAATTTAAGAGTATTTAGTATAGGGTCATCAGGATCAAAAGTCCGTTGAAGGCGACAGAGCTGCAAAATGCCAAAACAAATCATATTAAAACTTAGAAATGTGAAATACAAAATTAAACGTAGAAAATATTTCAAAACATCGTCATTAAAAATTGTAAAATACAGAAAAACCTAAAATATTAAATACACTTAAAAAACAGTTAAAAAATTAAAATTAAAGAGTTTCTATAGGAAACAATTAATTCGGTCAACGGACAGAAAGATAAAATTTTGGTACGCAAAAATGAAAGTTTTCTTTTGGCCTTACTCGGTAAAAAGACACTTAAGTTGATGCACCAACTGACCTCATTTTCTGTTCTTAAAGTTTCAAATGTAAATAAATGGAGCCCCGTTAGGCCTAGCGCCACATGATTATAAAACTACTGCATTCAGATTAACTAAAGGCATGAGAACAACATAATTCTATCACTTTTAAAGCAAAAAATGTTCTCTTTACCAACATATGGGGGGGAGGACAGAGCTCACAGAAGCGGCTAAAAGGCTACCTCTTGCCCAATGAAATTAATTGTAAACCATAACTTTCTCTAACTCGACCTGAAACCATTGACTCCCGAATTATTGTCCTCGTCGAATTATTTGATGTGCAAATAATTCGACGAGATATTTCTTAATGATAGTTGAATACAATAAGTTCCATTTTAATTATAAATTAATATTGTGAAATAAATAAAAATTAAAATATTGTGAATCTTCAAGCTCAGTTGTGCTATATGTGTTGTTATATTTTTCCACTCAGCCCTTACCTTCAACCACTGCTGTCTTCTCAGTCATCTACGCAATATCGAAAGCTGTTAAAAGTCCCAGTGCCTTCATCTAGTGTTAAAAGTGTTAAAAGTTAAAAGTGCATTTTAACTGATAGTGTTAAAAGTTCCAGTGCATTTTAAAACATTATGCATATATATATATGCAAGATAAAAATATGAAAGCACACTTCTAAATTTAAATCACTATAACCTCTTTTATTTTCTATTTCATTTGGCAACTTCATCTATCTGTCCTAAAAATAGCGCTTCATCATTCAAATTAATTATTCAATCTTACATAACTCTTAATGCAAATGCCTCTTGACCAATCACCAAATTGTAAAACAAATTTAAAAACTGAAACTTTTGACTCCCTGCCTTCTTTCTATAAACTGATGCGTCACTTTTGCTTGTTTTTTCCTCTTGGCCAGATGCCTTTCTGCAATCATGTGTGTGCTGCTACATTCGCTTCTATGGAAATAATATCAAAATTGTTGCTTGCTAAATGGGCCTTCAATATGCCAAAATTTAAATGGTTTATCCAAATGCCAATGTAATGTTCTTAATAGGCCAAGAAAATTGTGGCCACAAAATGGGAATTAAAAAAAAATAAAAGGAATTTAATCCGGCTCCACTGCTTCTTCTTCAAAAATGGATGGACGCTCTAAGCATCAAGTATCTACGCCATAATTATTTTTGCGCATTTACATCTCAGTGTTCTTATAACAGTGCATCCAAAATTGTTCTGTCATTTGTGCCGCAGTCATAATCAAATCTTACATGTCGTGTCAACGAACCACCATTACACACACACAGACATATATATACGTGTGTGTGTATATATATATACATAATGTAAAATGCATAGAATGAAGATGTGTAAATGCATAGATGTGTGTGTATGCACATATATGTAATATTTCGGCAGTCGGCAAGATGAATGAAGCTTGGCAGAAATGATGACACAGAAGTTAATTGTTTCGACTCCACATCTTTATTCAATTGAAAGGCATGTCATCACTCTTTATTAAATAAAATTAAATTCACTGCGTCATAGTATTCTAACAAAGAAAGGCAGAAGAGCAGCAGTACAGATTTTAGCAGCAAAGGGAGAAAGCGGTCTCTCTCTCTATTGCCCATCCTTTGTACCATGGTATGTTCGTGCTAAGTTCTAACATGTTATCTCCATTCCATTCAGAGATTGGAACAAATGGAACTGTTGCAGGATTGTAACCAATTTTGTTGATATAAGTTCACACTTCATTCTTAATTTCTTCAAAACGAGACTCACTGAAAGGAGGTTCAGTTGGGTTCATTTTATTTAAGCCAACAATCATTTGTTTTACGCCTAAAGTGTAAGCAAGTAAGGCATGCTCTCTTAGTTTGGCCATTTTTAGATATACCTGCTTCAAACTCTCCAGTACTAAGCAGCAACAATCAGAACAGCACAATCAGCCTGAGATGTTCCAGTAATCATGCTCTTGATGAAATCCCCGTGTCCAGGGGCATCAATAACAGTAACGTAATATTTTGAAGTTTCAAACTTCCAAAGAGTAATATCAATTCTTATACCACGTTCTCTTTCTGCTTTCAGTTTATCCAAAACCCAAGCATACTTGAAAAAGCCTCTTGGGCTTCTTTTTCGAATTTTTCAATGGTTCTTTAATCAATACCACCACATTTGTGGATCAAATGACCAGTCGTGGTACATTTTCCGGAATCCCAACGTGGCCAATAACCACAATGTTAGTTAATATGAGTCTTTTCTTTAGACATGACTGCTTACGTCGTCAACTGAAATAAATAATTAAAAATCTTTACACTGAAATTAGATTACAAATCTCACCAAACTGCGAGCACATATATATATACACACACGCACATGTTTAGTGACGCTGATAGCAACAAAAAAGGGAAGTGCACAACTAGACATGCGGCTAATTGTATCTGAGTTACGCGAGGTACATACGTGCGTGTGTACGTACATATAAACGTCAGGAAAAAAAATCCCTTCTGAATAATCCTTTGGTAAATGTTGTGACAAACTTCTGCGGGAGGTAGGGCATATCATAAGGATTAAGAAATTACATAGTAACCCATGCCCAGAAACGTCATTATACGCCGCCAGGGGGTGCTGTACAGAAGAGTGCCAGTGAAAAGTGAGAATTGCCTCATTCGAGCGGTAGGTACCATACGAAGAGCACGGAACGCTTTACGAACTGGGAGCTTGTAGACATGCACTTAGTGTATGGAATAGCTGAGGGTACTGGATTAACCGCTGCACGCATTTATGGAGAACGCATCTCCGACAGACATCAACCATATCACAGTTTGTTTGCACGTCTGCATCAAATATTGTGCGATTACGGATCATTAAGAAGTGGACTCCATTTGAACAGATCATTCCCGCATCGATGGATTGGGCGTGGTGGACCGGTTCCCTGGCTCTCCACGCTCATCGGATTTATTGAGCCTTGATTTCTTTCTCTGAGCAGCTATCAAAAGTGTCGTGTATCACGATAATGTTGCGTCTGAAATGGATCTCTTGTCAAGACTCCGGGCATGGGTTCCGATGCAGTTCTTAATCCTTATGATGTGACTTAAGAGTTTCATACTTTGCCGGTAACATATACATATATAATCAAGATATAAATAATTTAATCAATATTTTATAAGAAAATACATCAAAATTGGAATCAAAACAATTGAAAAAATAACATAATAAAAATGCAATAAACATAAAATAAAACAAATAGTTGAAAAATCTTTGTTCGTTTTCAAGCAGCAGACGAAAACGTTTCATCAGAGTCACATTTTTAAATTATATCTGGATGATTTCTCGTATATAGAGGTGCTCGTATCTCAAGGTTCCACTGTATATGTTTCCGGTGTGCATAATTCTTTTTAGTGTTTTTATAACTGTATTGATATCTATGATTGAGTTATGTGTTTTATTTTATTTTATGAATAATATTAACGGATATATTTTTTTCTCTTTGAGAATAGAAATGATTAAAAAGTGAAAAGGGTTTTGTCTATATTATTTAAACTGTGCCACTACTGTGTCGTTTTTATTCAAATAAGAATAGTTTTATTGCATTAATATCTTTGCTGGCGTTATTCTGAAAGGTATTCTAATACTTGCTGCATTTTCGAATTGTGTGTTTTTAAATTATTATTTCGTAATATTTGAGAATAATATATATAATTGTATTTTTCAAAGAAAACTACAGTCGAAACTAATTTCTTAGAGCATTTAGAATTTTGTAGATATCACACGCATTAATAATAGAAGGAACATATAATTTTTCTTCAACCAAACAACGGACTTTTCACCGGACATTGAAAGTACGATAGATAACATGGCATTTTTGAGAGTAGCCAGGAAAAAGGATCTGCAAGTGTTAGCCACAGAACTGGGTCTGCCCGTCTCAGGAAAGTGATTCAACTCAAAGAGTTAATTACGCACGCAGATAATGTCCAGAAATTTCCAATTAAGTTAAAGTTTTGAAACATTCACTTTAATGAATCTTCGAAGTGACGAAGGTAAACATCTACATACAGAACAGCGTACTCAACTAAAATCCTATAAGGTATTTCTCCCGCTTTCCAAGCGTCCTTCGTGGTGTAGTGGTTCTGCACGCTGGCCCGGTATTCCAGAGGTCCGTGGTTCGATTCCCGGCGAAGGCGTTGTTAATTTTTCATCTCTCCGGCCTCCAAAAAATATCCTAATGTCTCTACAGTGGCGCCCGAACTAAAAGGGTTGTGGATGATGATTCTCCACACCCAGGATTTGGCGACTAGGTCCCCTAAAACCCTAGTCGCCCTTTAAAAAGGGGAGTATATAAGGTATTTCTCCCGCTTTCCAAGCGTCCTTCGTGGTGTAGTGGTTCTGCACGCTGGCCCGGTATTCCAGAGGTCCGTGGTTCGATTCCCGGCGAAGGCGTTGTTAATTTTTCATCTCTCCGGCCTCCAAAAAATATCCTAATGTCTCTACAATCCTTATAGCAAAAATTCAAGAAAACCGCTTCAAACCAGAAGGAGATCCAACCCCTTACAGTGAATTTTTCTAGAATAATCCTGATTCTATACTGTTGAACGAATCACCCCGATTCAATAACATTTTGAAGAGAGTCATCCTGATTCCGTGCTGTTGAATGAATCATCTTGATTCAATGACGTTTGAAAAGAATCATACTGATCCTGTGCAGTTTTGAGTGAATCATCCCAATTCAATGAAGTACGAAGAGAATCATCCTGATTCTATGCTGTGCCACGAATCATCCCGAGTGAATGAAGCATGATGAGAATCACCTTGATTCTACGGAGTTTTGAACGAATGATGCTTGAAGAGAATCATCCTGATTCAATGAAGCTTGAAGGAAATCATTCCGATTCTATGCTGTTGATGAATCATCCCGATTTAATCAAGAGCAAGACAGCCCAAAATATATATATATCATAACATTTATACGATCATAATATTAATATATATATATATATATATCATAACATTAATACGATCATAATATTAATATATATATATCATAACATTAATGCGATCATAATATTAATATATATATATATAAATACGCTGCTCGACACTCGACATTGAAAATGCAACACCAAGAAGGAGTGATCAGAAATTTATGCAAATTTTAGAGTAGACGCACGTCATTGAGTTATGCGAATGATGTGAAACGCGCAGCTCTCCGACGCACGTGAAGTAAGATATAAGGGAAGGAACGTGCAGAATGGGCAATATTCGTGTCGTTATTTCTGCCAGACGAATTATCGAAGAAAGTTGGTTTTTGTCCCGGAGGATATGTGTAATAGGAGAGAATGCCAGGCCGCAGTCAACGAAGTCACTTCCAGCAGATAGACGATTTTACGAGGGGTATGATGATCGTACTGAGAAGGGCGGGTTGGCCCTTACGTCAAATCGCAGCTGATACCCACAAGGATGCGAGCACGGTGCATCGGCTATGGTGAACACGTTTGGAACAAGGAAATGTGGGAAGAAGGAGGGGTACAGGTGCAGCCAGAGTGACGTCAGCCCGCGTGAATCGACGCATCCGCCCACAAGCTGTGGCGGTACCTCAAGTCACTTGTACCGCAATTCTGCAGCATGTGCAAGATACCCTGGATGTTCCCGTTTCGACCAGAACCACTTCCCGTAGATTGGTTGAACGTGGCCTGCACTCACGGCTTCCGTTAAGAAGACTGCCATTAACCCCACAGCATAGGCGCCAACGATTAGAATGGTGCCGGACTGGAGCGATGTGGATGACAGAATGGCTAAACGTCGTGTTCTCAGATGAGTCATGCTTCTGTTTATCCAGTGACAGTCGCCGCATACGTGTGTGGCGTCTACGTGGAGACAGAGCTATTCCGGCAGTAACTGTTGAACGCTCCACCGCGCGACAACGTGGGGGCGCTATTGCCTACGATTCCAAGTCACCTCTAGTTCATATTCAGGGCACTATGACGGCCCAACGATACTTGGATAATGTACTGTGGCCGATGGCAATCCCCTACCTTCAAGGGCTGCCTAATGCAATTTTTCTGCAGGATAACGCCCGACCACACAGTGCTCGCATCTGCCAACATGCTCTTCAAGGTATACAGATGCTTCCCTGGTCACCGTACTCTCCTGACCTGTCACCAATCGAACATGTGTGGGATGTGATTGGATGCCGTTTGCAGACTCTTACCCTGCCTCGTTCAGTGAAATAAAGATCACTTATTGCTGCTTGCTGTCTCTGTCTCCAAATTTCATCACTTTCTGACCATTCCTTCTTGGTGTTGCATTTTCAGTGTCGTGCAGTGTATTATGGTCGTCGACGACAAAAGGCTTCCTACGAACCAGGCGATAGAGTATGGGTGACGTTACATCCTATTTGCAGATCACAGAAATGTGTCACAAATTCATGCCTAAACGTGAAGGACCTTATTTAGTGATAACCAATTGTTTACCCACTACGTATGATATTGCTGATACAGCTAAGCCACATGAAGTCCTTGGGACTTATCACTGCTCAGCTTTACGTGTTTATGAGGCGCCCGCTTCAAAAGATAGTTGGACTGTAACACCTCTTCGGAGACAAGGCAGGCCAAAGTAACATATTTCTGGCTCTTCGCCAAGACTTCGTACGAGCCAGCGCGGGAGTCCATAACCCCACGGCTCTCAAGCGCGCCACCTAGCGGCCGCTGAAGGGAATAACTGCCTGAAAGACAACAGATTTGCAGTCGGTGTATTGGAGTCAAGTACCAAACATGGTGTTCTGGCCCGAGATATTTAGTAACTCCAAACATGTACAAAACATGTCCAAGTACCAAACATGGTAAGTAATATTTAGTAACTTCAATGTTTAATTATAATGTCGTTATAAGTTTTACGTCCTTAAGTGTAATGTTTTTTTAACTGTGTTTTAGAATTAAAACTAGTTAAAAATCCAAGGTGAGTCTTTTTAGTTAGCATTCCTTTAATTCTATTTAGCTGTTAACCCTAACAGACTTAGAATTATGGCGTACTGCCTACATCATGACTTTTCAGACAACCCATTAAAATGCTTAACGGATGGATGAAACGTTCGAGTACGCACATATGAAAAAACGAGCAATGGGAAGCACGACTGGGAAAAGTTCGACTGCACGCTGCTCAAGCCCTTTCATCCGAAGCAGACAAACAACGGAAAACAAGACTGGAAAACGTTCAAGTACGCACTGCTTAAGCCCGTTCGTCTGAAACAGACGAGCAACGGGAAGCAAGACTGGAAGACGTTCGGGTACACACTGCTCGATCCAGACGAATACTGCACGCTGATTTAAATCTTGGTGCATTTCATTACGATGCTTGTTATGATTACAGTCTTCATCCGAATATGATCGTTGGAAAGATGGATAAATTACGCATGCATTGCACAGCCCTCAAGTTTAAGAATGAAGCACCAGAAATGTACTACGGGGGTGCAAAAGTGAAATTGTCAGAATTAAATTCACCACCCTAATCATTATCAACCTTGGTATTAAATGACATAAGCCAATCGTAACATGCAAAATACACATAAAAAAATCATAACAGATTTAAAATTCAAACACTTTCTTTCCTTTAAGTAGCACTGCAACGCATGCCGGGTAACAGATAATTTTTTATATAAAAAGATAATATTTTTACATTATTAATGCTACATGCGAGGTATAATAGTCTCGCGATTTATTAAATTTGTATTAAAATATAACATTTAACTATTTTTCACTCGCCCATTTTAAAGATGTTGAATTCGTCAAAGGAATATTTAAGGAAGAAAATTATAACACTAGCGAATAACAATTCAATAATACAGCAATGACAGGAATCTTTCAAAATAGATAAAATGAGATTACCTTTTGGATATAATGTACAATTCTGGTATTATCTAGCAACAACCGACTGACATCAATCAAATGCGAATAAATCAGTCGAAGCTCTATATAGTTTTCTCCAAATGCAAGCCTAAGAAATTCACAAAAATCATCATTATACACAATAAAAGCAATACATAAATGCTACTTCGGAATTTAAATTTCTTTATATTTTCCATTATGAAACTATAAATTAGTTTGTAATTTCGTAAATGAAAAGATATGAATTAATTTTGATATTCAGATTTTTCTTAATGAAATAACAGTTTTTTAATGAAATTACCGCGGATATGATTTGCAATTAGGCGTCATGTCACCGGGAATCATCTACCATGTTATAACGTAAATATATTCCATTAACTATAATTGCTTCATGCATTAAATTGCTTGTGTCATTTATATAGGCATCAAATCTTTGCTTCGAAAACAGAGTTCGAATTTATTTCCTTATATGCTGTTTTGATACTTTTCAGTTGTTTGTTTCTGTATTGAAGAGAGTAAGAAATTCGAGGGTATGTATGCACTTGGCAAAACTTTTGGTTGCGCCATTCTCATATTGTTGATCAAAGTTTGATAACCTCCTGCATCTGATTTAATTGATAAGTGCAGAAATAGTACACACATTTAATTTTGATGGCCAATGTATCATTCGCAAAAGGTACTTTTGATATGCTCTCCTCTGCATCTTCTATTACCTATTTCTTTGCAAGCTATTGTTGTAAGTGATATCCTGGAAGAAATCGTTTTTGCTACTTGACAGCTAGTTAATAGCGCTTTTGTCATTATTTAATTCATAACCGTGATTTGTTTTAGTTCAAAAGAAACATACTACTGAAAGAAATTTCACGTTGTTTACTAAATTACTATATTTTGTTTTCAACATACTCTTTAGTTTGCTTGGAGGAATGAATTCACTGCTTAAATGCATTGTTTCTATTACCTATATCACACGAATTCATCTAAGGCGTCCTCTATGGACCGTCGCTAAATAAATGCATATAGTCGTTTTGAAAATAAAATTGTTTCACTCTGAGGCATGTATTAAGCTAATTTATTCTAATTATTACGTAAACTAATTTATTCAATACTCTTCTCGAAACGCCCGATTGTATACACACTTATTTCTGTTTTTCAATGAACTTGATTTCACACGTATTTAAAATACATACTTCATTCTCTTTTTACGCGTTTCATTTTGATATAAAACCAGCGGGCCAAGCCAATTCTTGACAATGCACCAAGATTCCCAAATGTGGAACACCCAAATGTTCCTAATACTAAAATGCCGCCTAATACTACATCTCTGTTACCAACCACCAGACGAATATACATGGCGTCCCACTCGAAGGAAGCCCTGAGAAAAGTCTGATAAAAATTTTATAACAGAAGGAAATGAAACCATATTTTTACATTACACGCCTTTATGTTTGAGAAATGAAAGTGCATTAGAATAGGTGCTGGAACTGACCTCCTTCCACCTGTATATACAGTTCAACACGCTGTTACATTTTCATGCAGATACGTATTCAAGAAAGGAGCCATAAAATATTTCCCACTGCCGGTTTTACGATGGAATGTATAGTGCAGATAAACCAAAAGCGAAAGAGACAAGGAATGAAGAAAACACTAGCGTAAACATGCGTGAGGGCCCAAGTATCTTTCAACTGCTTGAGGTGTCTAAAGGTCTTATTTCGGCCCTTGCTGTAACACATTTTTATTACATATTATTACATCCCGAATCAACTAATTTTTCTTCCATAAATATCATGCCTTTTCTTACACTAAATGTTTTATACGCATTCTTCAGAAACATATCTATCGCGTACAAAACAGAATTAGGTGCATTTTTGATCGTCAGAGCCAAGCTACAGAGTGATCAATTTAGATGATCTATTACAATCAGTACTGATGTTTGTTTAGAATTTCAGAAATACTAATCAAATTCAAATGATTGCGATGAAAGGGCTACTTACGTAGCACTTAGGAATAAGTATTTGTTTGGTCGGTTTGCTGAAAATCTTTCTATCACTTTAATTTCCTTCGGAGCGGAGTTTGCCATCTTAAAATTTAATGATCTTTATTATTGTTAGAAATATATCTATTTTAACAGATATATAATAATCGACATGTATTATAAAGAAATCGCTTTTTTATTCTCTAATTAGAACATGCGTATACGACACGTATTATCCATATAAGCAAGCCAATATTGATAAAAATTCATAATATCAACTTACTTTACATGTAATACTGGTTAGCTACGCTTTAGAGAGTTTTTTTAGAAATAAGAAAAGTCACAACTTTTATTTATGTTTATTATATGTTTATACATCACATTAATGTTTTAAAATGTACAAAGGTATTTCTCCCGCCTTCTTAATATGGCTTCATGGTGTAGTGGTCAGCACGCTTGACGCGTATTCTAGAGGTCCGTGGTTCCAGTCCCGGCGAAGGCATTTTTCATCTCTCCTGCTTCGAAATAACCTAATGTCTCTACAGGTTTCAGGTTCGAGCCCCGGTGAGGGCATTGTACATTTTCAGGTTCCTGAAATCGAAAATATCCTAATGGCTCTACAGTAGTGCCCTACCTAGCTTTAAAAAAAACAAAAAAAAAACGAATGTTTCAGATTTTAAATTACGTCCAAAGGGGCGTTTATTTTTACATTTTGTGTGTTACCTTTATTTATTAAATATCATGTTCTTCGCACTTAAACCATAAAATTCAGTTCAACAGCAATATCGCCAAATAATTTCAAAATCAGCATATCTTTAGATTTTCCGATACACAGGCGCTGGAGATAAAAATGTTTTTTCTGTACAACGTTGCCATTGCTCGCTTTAAAATTCTTGAGTTTTTCAATCAAAAATTCGTTAAAGTTTTACAAAATACGAAATAGATAATAAAACAAATTCCAAATTTCAAATTTGGGCTTCCACATGCCCATATTCGCAGTAGGATTACATCATTCAAAATTCGATGGCTCTAGGTAACGTTGTTTTATCACAATGCGAGAAACATATCTACATTTATGCAGATTGCTCATTATTTAATTTCTTCAAATATAATACAGGGAGATAATATTTGGTGGCAACAGTTTGAAAAGTGATACAGCCTTTTAAAGATTTTAACGCAAAATGCCAAAACGAAAACAATAGTCCCTCAGGAACAAAGTCCCTTGGGACTAAAAAAAAAAAAAAAAAAAAAAAAACTTAAATGTTTCAGATTTTAAATTACGTCCAAAGGGGCGTTTTTTAACATTTTGTGTGTTACCTTTCTTTATTAAATACCATGTTCCTCGCACTTAAACCATAAGATCCAGTGCAACAGCAATATCGCAAATAGTTTTAAAAACGAGCATATCTTTAGAATTTCCGATACAGAGACTCACGCGCTGGAGATAAAAATGTTTTTTCTGCACAACGTTGCCATTGCTCGCTTTGAAATCCTTGAGTTTGTTAATCAAAAATTCGTCAAAGTTTTAAAAAATAGGAAATCGATCATAAAACAAATTTCAAATTTGGTCTTCCACATGCTCATATTCATTGGAGGATTACGTTATTCAAAATTCGATGACTCTATGTACCGTTATTTTATGACAATGTGAGAAATATACGTACATTTACGCAGATTTTCATTATTTAATTTCTTCAAATATAATGCAGGACTCTAACATTTTATGGCAACAGTTTGAAAAGTGAACCGACATTTATCCGTCCGACGCAAAATGCCAAAACGAAAGTAATAGTCCTTCGGGACTCAAGTCCCTTTGGACTCTAAAAAAAACACGTTGGTGAATGATTCTTCATCACCAGGATGTGGTGACTACAAAGATCCCACCTTTCTGCTTGCCTTCGTGGTTTAACGGTAGCGCACTCGGCACGTAATCGAGAGGTCCAGGTTCGAGTCCCAGCGAGGGACATCGAAAATAACCTAATGACTCTACAGCGGCACTCGAACTAAAAGAAAAGTCGTGAATGATGATTCTTCACCACCAGGGTTTGGCGAGTGGGTCCCCTAATGCCCAGTGCCCTTTAAAAGGAGGAGTATATAAGGTATTTCTCCCGTCTTTTTAGCATGTTTTCGTGGTGTAGTGGTCAGCACGCTCGACGCGTATTTGAGATTCTGTGAGTATGAGTCCCGGCGAAGACGTTGCTCATTTTTCATCTCTCCTGCTTCGAAATAACCTAATGTCTCTACAAATGCCTATTTAATACTAATACCTGTTTAATTTTAAGAATATATTTAAAAAGGATTTCCCATGCTATATCATATCCTCGAAAAGATAACAATAATAATAATTATTATTCAGATAAGCATGGACTTCTTTACTTACTCAACGTACTCAGCTAGCTTTTCCAAATCTTCCACCTGCTCTTCTGGAGGTCCTTTAACATGGAGACATTTCCAAGCTAGAAGTCTAAGTCGAAGGATGTTGGTGTTACCCAAAACACCTTCCTGTTTCTTTAAAACTATTTTTACTTTTTCTTGTAAAAATAGCCAGATTTTTGGATCACCCACTTTTACATAGAGATGAAACAAAGAGTTAATTTATATTTAAAGGTTGTCTGGAAATATGCCTCCAAGCTCGATTGCCCTAAATATTGGTCCTAGACATTTAATTTCCAGAGGGGAATGGTTTTAAAAATAAGATGCAGAACTGAAAGCAAACGCATAAAAACATAACTTCCAATATATATACCTCTTTATTCTAAAAAAAATTAATAACATTCCTGGACTGCATCATTTCTAGCTAAATTTACGTCGCATGGCTTGCCTAACGTCAATTACGAAGCTGATTAAGAGCCTTAACTCAAAAGTTCCGAGATCTGAAACCTTTCTAATCTAAATCAAAACCTTCTCCTTGGCGATCTTCCATACCCGAAAAATACGCACTTTAGCTTCTACCTTTGTTGCCGCTTGGATGCTATTTCGCTATGCTCTCTTCCTGTAGCAACACTATAGTGTAAATGTTCTGTAAATAAGCACGATTAGAGTGACAAGTTAACTGTGGCCACAAATGTCAATTTAAATAAAAGTGGAATTTAATCCGCCTCAACTGCCAAGTTTCTTAGTTATTATGAATTCAATATTTTAGATTCTACGCAGTCAGAAATAAACCTCTTTAATATGGATCTACGTATCTATCAGTATCTACGCAATCAGTATTTCTTCAGAAGAGAAGAGACCTTCAGAATCAAGTATCTAGGAAGAAAACCATCATCTAAGGCGTTGTATTCAGAATCTGATTTCGCTACGATGTTAAACTTCACTAGTCGCACACAGAAAGACGGCGAAGCTTCGATCAGTTCAGGCGCTACGATGTCTTCTAAATCATGGTGCATCGCAAGTAACGCCTTAGATCAAGTTGTTTCAGGAAGTTTGTTTATCATTAATCATGCAAGCGCTGAAAATCTCTGAACCTCAAGCTGCTTGTGAGTAAGTGAAAAGACACATGTAGCTTGTTCATTCACTCTGCCATACTATCTACTGGCTAAATTTTCGGGGTTAATTCTGTTCAAAAATTTAAATTTTTCTTACACAAATCTTCCAAACAAAAATATTTAAGCAGCTTTCGCAATATTCTGCACCTTATTTTAAGGAACTTTTTTGTGTTGTACGTGTGTTGAACTTTCGTGAACTTAATTTTGTATATACGTCTGTATATGAGAACGGAATTATGTGTATGTCTAGAAGCAAAATCAAGGCAATAAAAGCTTGCAGTTGTTCTTAGTGAATACAAGAAATAACAAACTTTTAAACAAATATTATGTACATACAATCAATATCAAAGTAGTATAAGAAATAAGCTAGCATGAAATCACATTTAAAGTGCACATGGGGGTGTTGCGAAAAGCTTAAAATATACAGTTACATACGTAAGGGTTCGAATGGATTGAACGCAGACAGAACAGATAATAAACTTGATAAAATTCATTTTTCCAAAAGAAACACTTTACAGTTCTGCAACTTTCCATAAAGGCATTCACACAGCTCTTCCTACTGATCAGGTATAGGACATGCTATTGGCCAATTTGTTAAAGCAATCAGTGACAACGAGGATGTATTTGTTGCCATCAGCAGTTCCTGACAGAAGTCCCAAGCTATCAAAGACAATGCGTTCAAAAGGCGCTCTTACACTGCAATGTGACAGCTTCCCTTGGTTGCGTTTCTTCGATGCTTACCTGCCCAAACAGGGATCACAAAATTGGCACCACGTTTGCACGTCAGCCTTTGCATTACAGCAGTAGACAAAGCTTTCGAACTTTATGTAACGTGTTCATTAATCCGAATTGGCCTTTTGTTGGACTGCTATGTAATTTTTTAAGGACGTCCAGGATCTTGGAAGTATTAGCTGCCATCGGAATGCCTTTCCATCATTCGTTTTGAAGTTCTGGTACAAGAAGGCATTTTGAATATAGAGCAAGTCCCAGAGAGCCCAATATTTTTTTTTTGTCATAGGCCTGTAGATCGAAATGTCCTGCTAAGTAGGTTTCCTGTTTGAAGACTAATGTCGCCGTTTTCCAATTGGTCTTCCCTAGCTTCTTCGTCATTTGGGTCTGAGTCAGACGATGTTGAACTTGTTATTTAACGTTATTATTGCTTGTTTATACCAACTGATTAACATTAACTGGTTAACATTAATTAACCAGCTGGTATTTCACTTCGACCTTAGAACCGGTAGCTTTCTGGACAGATTTTTCTGATCAGGATGTCGGGGTTTCCGTGTGATTCTCTCTTCCTAGGATGGATAGTTATGTCATATTCTGTAGCCACCTGAGTATTTGGCTTTCGGGATTGTTGAAATTTAAAAGCGAGGTCAACAATGGATGATCAGTGCGCGCAGGAATTTTCTACCGTAGAGGTAATGTTGGAAATGTTCTATGGCTTTTGTAAGCACTAGGTGTGTGCCTTCTGTTCAACTTATTTAATTTTAAATAAAAGGTTATTTTACACACTTTTTAAGTTCTGTTTCATCTTAGACATAGCGACAAGCCGTTTAGACGTCTATTTGATGATTTGCCACAAGTTACATTTGAGTTAAAAGTATACTCAGGCTTTCCCATAATCTTTTTCTTGCAACATTATTATATAATACTTACTTTGCACCTCCGACAATGTGTTGTTTAAAAAAGAAAGAGCTTCATTTGTTTTTCCAGGAAAGAAACTCATGCCCATCAAACAAGCATATTCTACTCTGTTTAATATGATGTACCCATACACTGCCGCAGCTTATACAACTGACCTTCTTCAAATTATCATACGATGCACTTTTTTGAATTTATACCACGTCTGATAGTTTCTGAACTCCGCAACTTGGATTTTCAGCGATAGCTGCTTGGTTACGAAGGATGGTCGCAAACAACGGGCATCATCTTCGCACTGAAAATTTCCACGCTTAAACGTGATGTCTTTATCAAAACTTCTTTTAGACCGCGCGATCATAATTAACAGAAATTTGACAATCTGACTAGCATTTTGTTTCCTTTTCTAAAATAGAATAGCATAATTTGATGAAAATTACCTTTTGGTTTCTCCATTCTTAAACACTGCACTGAAATGAAGTTATCCCAAAACACATGCTAGTATTACGCAACATCAACTTAGACTGTAGTTAAACATCCACTTCAGTCAAGGCCAGAGTAACAAAATAATTAGGACTTTGATTCCGAAAACCACAGAACTCAGAATCTATAGATAGGTAAAAGAGGTGAAATCTACTACAGTGGAACCTCGAGATACAAGTTTAATTCGTTCCAGCATTGAGCTCGTATAGCGAATTTCTCGTATCTAAAAGCAAACTTCCCCATTGAGAATAATGGAAATCTAGTTAATACGTTTCCCACCCACAAAAATATCAGCATATATAAATCATTTTTTCTAAAAAATAACACTGGTAAATAATATATAACCGTAGTTTACCTTTATGATAGCTTCAGACACCGGCCCTTTCAAATTTTCATGTGTGGATCAACGAAATTTCTCGTTGATCCACACCAAGACAGGGTTCGTAGCACATTTTAGTTAAAAAAATAAGCACTTATAAGCACTTTTCAAGCACATTTTAAGGAAAAAATAAGTGTTCATGCGATGCGTGCGTTGTTATACAACAATTTCAAATTAACTAGAAGTGGACTGTACTAAATATTTTATTCGACAACTTTAATCAAATGCGTGCCATCTTTCAAGCGATGACTTACTACTAACAACAACAGCAATAAAATAAAACTGAGTAAGCGTTTACAGGGTTGCTGTAATGAACATCTGCGCCATGCAAGGCGCCAAGAAGAGAAAAAATGACGTAATCTTACAGTTAAATAGTCTTAATGACTTAACATACCCCCCGGCATTGAAGGGTTACTTCAATAGTTTCGTGCGATAATACTCATAATAACCTACAAAATTGTACAATTACTACCTTATACAATAATGCAATACGAATAATATCTCTTAATTCAATATAATAATATTCAATTTTCAATGAAATTTTTATACACAATACAATGTACAATACAAGTTTTATAATAATAAGCAAACACTTAACTAACTTTGGAAGCTACTTCTTGGGGTAAAATTGCAATTTTTGTAATTCCACGCTTAATGATGCCCTTTGCTGTCTGTATTTCTACTACTCTAACCTTACCGTCAACTCCAGGAAAAATTCTTGTAATGCGCCCTAACACCCATCTACAGACAGGAAGCTCATCCTCCTTAACTAGTACTAGCATACCTATTTTAATATTCGTTTGTTCTACCTTCCATTTTGAACGCTGTTGTAGTGTGTTTAAATAGTCCCTATGCCAACAATTCCATATCAACTGGACAAATCTGGTAGTTCGTTTCCATCTTGAGAGTCTGTTTTCAGGTATATCAATTAATTCGGGTTCTACTATAGCATTCAAGGGTCTTCCAATGAGAAAATGACCTGGTGTTAATGCCTCTAAATCATTTACATCGGAAGATAAGGGAGTAATAGGGCGAGAATTTAAAACAGACTCATGTATTAGAACTTTTACAGTCCTTGATTGTGTGGACCGAAGATAAACAATTGAAACATAGTTTTTTTGTCTTTACAAATTCAAATCGTTTCTTGACTGTTAGATTTAAGAATTGCGCACATTTCAACAATAAATGATCAGCTTTACAATAAGGACAATTTTTTGAATTTTTCGAAAGTGATGTAAGAGCTTTGGTATTAAATGAACGTTTCGATTCCCCATGCGGAGGTTTGTAATGTGATAGGGTGCGAGTGTGTTCCTTCAAAAAACATCGTCATTTGTTTAACCGTTCCTATCTCGTCTTTTTTAAGTGACCTTTCCCACCAACACCGAGTATTTCTATTCAACTTTTCAACTAATAAATAAACAATTAACATGTCTGAAAATTCTTCCACCTTTTGCTCCAATGCTTCCAAGGATCGTAAACATTCATGCACCTTATCGATAAATTTTAAAAGTGACGAAGTAGAATCACTCGTTTGAGGTATAGAAATTAATTTCTTTATGATAGAATTGATCAAATCTTTTTTGTTGCAATAGCGATCAACCACAGATTCCATGCTATGTCATAATTCGAATCTGAAATTGGAATGGACTGAATAATATTTAAAGCGTCTGCCTTACACGAACTCTTTAAATATTGCAATTTTTGCGCATTAGTTAATTGCTATTTTTATGCACAGCTGCGGAAAATAAATCCTCAAATTCAATCCATTCTTCAGATTTTCCCACTGAATATAGGAAGAGACAATTTAGGATATTTTATATCCCAAACAATTTGAATTTTATATCCGAAACAATTATGTCTTTACTCGAAACCGTTTTCATTTGAACAACTATTCCTTTGAGAACTGATCTCAAAATTTTTTCTTTTAATAAATTCTTTCAAATGAAATTTCATCGAGATTATCTACTATATTTTCCTTTTCCTTAATGAATTCGTCAGTGTCCTTTTCCTTCACAATTGTGCAAATAAAGAATCGAAACTCTTATTTTTGTGAAAATGTTACTTAATTACCTTTTTAAATTCTAATTATTTTGATTCGTATAACTCCAATAAGGAAATATCTGCTTCATCCACTGTCGAATTTACCTTATTTTCAAACTTTCTGTGATACTGCATTTTAAGCTTTTTGTTGCCAGCTTTAATCAGCTTTCAATTCACTCATCATGAACAAATAAATAATTTATCACTTACCGTGATTGCAGATTTCTCGACAGCAACACCGGAAGTGAAACGATGACACAGTATCCAATCCTTAATTGCGTAATCCATACGAAAGTACGAAAGCATTCCAAACACTCTATTTCTCTATGCGTAATACAACCAAAACGAAAGTATTCCAAATGTTTCTAAAAAGGTTAATTTAGCAACGATATCTTTTACCTGTGGCTCGGCGGGCCATAAAGTGTTCATGCGATGCGTGCGTTGTTATACAACAATTTCAAATTAACTAGAAGTGGACTGTACTAAATATTTTATTCGACAACTTTAATCAAATGCGTGCCATCTTTCAAGCGATGACTTACTACTAACAACAACAGCAATAAAATAAAACTGAGTAAGCGTTTACAGGGTTGCTGTAATGAACATCTGCGCCATGCAAGGCGCCAAGAAGAGAAAAAATGACGTAATCTTACAGTTAAATAGTCTTAATGACTTAACAATAAGCACCTGTCTAATTACATTATACACAGCTGCATAACCTTAAAAGAAAAATTAAACTTGTAATTTAAAATATTAGTAATGCAATATTTTATTAAGAGAAAGAGCATTACCTCAACCATGGAAAACAATTAACTTTTTTTTTTTTTTTTTAAAGTTTTAAATGACAGTTCAATTTACAGAGTTTACAATGAGAGAAAAAAAAACTATGCAGAACTAAACTATATTACAAGGTTTAATGATGAAATTTCAGTTCAAAATATAGAAAATAAGTAATAATAAGCCATATTAATTGTATTCATTTGGAACCTAATAATAAATACAATTTATTTTTCCACTCATATTAATATTTAAATAATTTAACTTAAATCAAAATTCTGAACATTTTCTAAATTTTCATTGCATAACAGTTTTCCCTTAACACATATTCCAAGCAAAGTAATTTAAGTAAAAAAGAGGCACATTTCTGAAATCAGAAGACGGGAAATTGCTTCATGCAGTCATCCTTTCACAGTAAAAGTTTAACTAACCCGTATACTCGGAATTTGCCAAATATTCCCGGATAGTAACTGGAAAAAGAGGAGTGGGAGAGATTGTAGCCTTCTTTAGATTTCTCGGCTAAATAAATGATTTTGACATTTCGATATGTGCATCATATAAAAATAGACCAACGGAACTGAGAAATATTCCACTTAGAAAGCACAGTAAAACTCTTTTAAGTGTTCATAAACAAATCTCAGACTGAACATCAAAACTAATTATCTCTGCAAAATACCGTAAACATTATTGCGCAATACGTGCGGCGTAATTCTTGCATATGTGATATTACGCAATCGAAATCAACAGCTGCGGGTATTCGGAGAATAAAGAACAAAATAAAGGAAAAGAAATAGACTTACTAATCGGGGGTGTTTCTAATTCTAATTTTCAACAGCCTGCGTTAAATTTCCGGAATAGAATCAATCTTCGCTTGGGTTGGGTAGACTGCAAAAACTTCTAGTCCTATTCAATCCAGATTGGACAGTGACAAAAAAAAGTTCGCTGCTTCAATATTAGAGGTTTTGCCGAGAAAGGGGAGAACCTCCCAACCTCCATCCTGTATAATAGATTGGGGGAAAAAAGAAAGAAAAAAAAATTTTTGTGACTACTTGATTACTTTCCTTTTATTTAAGCCATTCCGAATATTATTCCTTAGAAAGCTAATCTGTGTAAAAACACACCCATTTTTGGAAGTTTATGTATACTTCAACAGTTACTGCAACTATATTATTATAAACATTCATGCATATGCGCATAATATATGCATAACGATCATAATAAACACGAATATGAACTGACCACGTGAAACGAGAATGCAGATTATTAAAATCTTGATAGAAATTCAAACGTGTGTAGTATTCGGGTGGGAGGAAAAGAATACCGTATGTACCGGAATTTTCTACCGTTTTTGCAATTCTTTGACCAATAGAACGACGTGCACCTGTCCGCGCTCTCGCGCGCACCATAGGTTACGTTAATGCAGAGAAAGAGGGGAAAAGCAATTTCCGGGAGTATGATTCACCATCTGACGTTGCATTAAGGAAGAAAAGTTGTTTATTTAGTTTCGGCTTTGGTACCGGGGGGGGATAATGCGCGTTCATTAAAAAAAGCACTAAAAACAAAAAAATAAGGGCTTTAAAGAAAAAGTAAGCACCTATAAGGGCCTTTATATTTTATTTTCAAATATAAGGACTTATAAGCACTTGGTAAGGACCGCTACGAACCCTGCAAGAGCTCCTACGAATTTTTGGACGGTGATTGGAAGTAACGGTAACTTCTTTGGCTACAACAAGTTTCTTAATTTCTTCCTTCTTCTTCATAAGAGTGCAGATTGTCGATGTCTAATGGCCATAAGTCTTCGCCAATTCCGTCACTCTTATACCCCGTTTATGTTTTCAACGGCCATGGCTTCCTTATTTCGCTTTGCAGCACTATCTGAGGCAACAATCTTCTTGGGAGGCATTGTGAAATAATTATTTTCACTTTAAATGTAATAAATAATTAACTCACAAGCGCACAAATACTTAGGGCAAAGCACAACGAGTGATCTGACAAGGGGATTCCCCGAGTCGAGCCGGATCGGGAAATGGCGCCACACATACCAACAGCCTGGTTCATTACTCGTTACTCGAATCAATGCTCGTATTTGAAGACAAATATTTTGCTCATGCTTTCCTCGTATCTTGAATTTCTCGTATATAGAGGTGTTCGTATCTTGAGGTTCCACTGTACACGGTTTCTCTGAAAATCGAAGACAATTATGCAGATACTATTTAATCATATAACAAAAGGGATTTTTCTTACCTTGTAAGCGCAACAAGGTACTGCAAAGGTCCAAAATGCTTTCAGAGTCCTTTATAACAGTGTGTGCTTTCGTTTCATCAATAACTTTCGTAAGAATAGAGGTCTAGAAAACGATTTTCAGTTATAAAATTAAAAACATAAAATTCACATAAATAACGTAATTAGAATAAGTTTTTGACTAAAAACTGCCTTATAATTACATTCATTCGATTTATCAATGAAGCCTTAATAAAAATATTCAAGTTTTATAAACTGTATGCTAAAATCTAAAATAGTGCGCTACTGAAAAAGCTATCAGTAAAATTCAGTGCATCAAAGTCTATACTTTGAATTCAAATTAAATAAAATGAAAAGTATAGTATACAACACTGCTCTAATTTCAAATACGCAAAAACTGTTTTGCATAAATAACGCTTAACCTTCATTTATGAATCATAATATCAGAATACATTGCAATTAAGATATCTTCATTTCCTCTTCGCTGTAATTTGAATCTTGCCCGTTCTTATTGTTGTCTCTGCTACTCTTTACGCTTCAAATCATCCATAAATAATTAGAGATGGTGGATGTGCAGTTGATTCGAGAAAATATTAGATTGAATGTCAGTTCGTGCTTGCTTCGCTGTGAGGGGTCGGTTCGTGTATTAGGTTGGTATAAAGTACAGAAGTCGGAAGGAGAAGGTCCAGCATGCCCTTCAGAGGTATTTTGCATGGACGAAAACAAGCCACTACATGCATGGATTCATTTTACAGAATGAGAGTCACTACATACATGGATTCATTTTACAGAGAAGTTTGTCCTGTGAACTCACTCTAAAAAGCTGGGGGGTGGCAAAATCTGCAAAGAAATAAGGCAAAATGAGCACGTTCGATGGCTATAGCGATCTTGGAGGTCATTCAAATCAGAAATAAATACATGCAACTTGTTGCAGGTCATGCACACGCATCAGAATCATTGTTATTAAATGAGCTCCCATGGTTTCCTGAAGACAGTTATCTGAATGTTCGACAATAACATCCGCTGTCAATAACTGCTTCTGTCTGCAATGGTGTCACATATCAGAGAAAACATCACAGCAGGTTTCGGGCTTTTCTATTTCTAGCGGAAGAATACTTGTTATTTGTACCCATTTCACCCTGTCTTACAGACATCCTAACTGCATCTGTGAAACACCACAACTACAATATTTGAATGAAGTAAAATTCTTTTTGATTATAAATTATGTTATGATCCCCGAGAAACTGTCCCTAGACTTGCAGAAGTACCACAAGAATTGGATTTGAAACACCCGCTATAAAGTCGGCAAAGATCACATATCTTGTACAGACTATCGCCAGATGCAAGTGAGAAGAGACTATACTTTGTCATAAGCATAATAAGTATCTTTCTGTTTCGCCTCCCTCCCCATTCTTGTAAAATATAAAGCTGTTTGTCTTTTATGTTCAGATTCGTGTTAAAACATCATAATATTAAGCACCATTACGACATGACACAAAGATAAGACAAAACATGATACAAATTATAAAAACATCTAATGTCATATAAAGAGAGATAAACTTACTGAATTGAAGAAAAGCTTAAAACAACAATAAAATATACTTAAAGCTGAAAGTTTTTCATCAGATAGGGCAAGCTAGTTACATTGTTAGCCGAATTTTAGCCTCTGCAGCAACTATTTCCATTATCATTCAGAGATCATTAAATCCAGAGGCAAGTGATTATTTGTTTCGTTATTAACACTTAATACTTTATTTACATATTATATAAGCATTATTATTAGGCATACGCCTTCATTATGAACATCTTTGATCTGCCATGAAACTAAAATTAAGTTATAGAAGAACACAAGACGCTCGGAGCGCCACATTAAGGGCGCAAGCTATCAATTTATAACACCCCACCCCCGTCAGTTAAATATAACTAATTAATATCATACAATACTTACTTATCAATAATGTTCAATTATCAATAATACAATTAATATCAAAACAATATAATGAAAATACTACAATAATAGATAACAATAACTAATACTACTACTAATAATAATATATAGAATTCTAAATGAAATGTTAAAGTTCAATTTGTATTATTTTATCAGCATATAGTCTTTCTGAAAGTTCCAATGGATACACAAGTTGTATTGGTCGTTTCACTATACCAGATTTAAGTTCTACACTGCACGATCGTATCTTACCGTCGCGTCCGTTATACGTTTCCACAATTTTGCTTAAGTTTCACATATTTCTAGGCAACTTATCTCTGATCAAGACTACATCATTCACCTTAAAGTATCCTTTAAGCTTTGTTGATGTTATACAGTTTGCACAGACATTTTCCAAATATTCACTTTTCCATTTTTTCCAGTAATGATATAACACTTTTGGCGATAGTTGTATCGTTTTATCACATTATTTCTATTTGCATTAACATTTCCATCATATTTTACCAGTGGTAAAGAAATCAAACGTTTCCCTACAAGAAAATGTGAAGGACTTAAGGAAGATAACTCTCGTGAATTACTTTACACATAGGTAATCGGTCTTGAATTTATCACAGCTTCTACTTCTGTTAAGACAGTTAGTTCTCAGTTCTTCAGTTGAAAGAGATGACCCAATTATTTTCTTTTATTTATTAATATTTTCTAATTTAAATTAATTTTATAATATTAATATTCTTAATATCTAATTTTTTTATATTAATATTGTATCTTCCCAATATTATTCTTGTTTTATGTTATATTCTCACTAACGATTATATATATATATATATATAAGATAAAAATATATGAATCAAAAATTATAGATTAAACTATAAAACATTAATTCTTCCTCTCTATTCTAATCGTAATTCTTTGCACTGCGTCATTTCTAGATCACTCTATGATCGGCGAGCTCTGATGACGAATCATTGGGAAGTGAACTGTCCTTGTAAACCAAAACTTTTCTCCTCGCGTGCCTCCATCTTGCATAACTATCACTTCAGCTTTGCTCTCTTCTGGTAAGATGTAATTTCGCTGGCTTGCTTTCTATCTCAACAATATCAAAAATGTAATCTTCTGTGGAAAGGCACGACTAGAGTGCCAAGTGATTGTGCCACAATACAATTGGAAATAAAAATGGAATTAAAACTGCCTCGAATGAAGTTTTTAAATACTACGCAATCAAAATTTTTCTTCAATATGGATCTAAGCACGCATCTACAGTGGTCCGGCTTTCCTTTTCCTGTGCTTTTATTATGACACATATATATATTTTAATTTTGGATTTCAAAACTATTACCCTATTTGATGAACCGTTCTTTTGATGTAATTTGTTTTCATTTTTAGATGATGTGGAGTTAAAGGCCTAGCCTATCGCACTCTGTAAATTTAACTTCCTTGATCCTTGATTATCATTGGAGAACAGGAGCACGACGTTTTCAGACACGTGTTCTGAAACGACTTCGTTTTTTCGTGTGTGTGTCTAGAGGAAAAAAAACCAAGCTCTTTCATCCACCCAAAATTTACTTTTTTGGATACAAATAACGAAGTATCAAGCTAAGCTACATACAAATCGTGAGAAAATTTTAGAATAAGAGAAGGTCGAGAGAAATATGCTGAAAATCGGATTGGCGAGAGTATGGTCAGAAATCGGGATTCTTCCACCCAGGTCAGAAGAGTTGGCAACTCTGCCTATGTTATAGAGGGGAGACAGAAGAACGGTGTGTTTTTCCAAGATAAATGAGAAATTAATTATTTTGTGGTTCTATGGCCAATAAAATTATATTGTTTTATTTGTATTAAGGAAATTCCAATATCAATTCCAAAAGAATAAAACTTACGTCATCGTTACGAAACAAATCATAAAGAAAAATCTGAAATGTTAGAAGATAAACAGAGGAAGAAAAAAATTAGACTTAATCTAAATTAAAAAATCTACCTTATAACAACAATAAGATATATTTACGAAAGCAAATAAAATCCAGTGTTAAATATTCCAGGGTCCAATAAAATATTTTTACGAAAGCAAATAAATAACAGTTCACGCAATTTTCCCTCTGGTGCATAGCAAAAACATCAAAATCATTTAGTGATGGTGAATTCGTTAAAGATCGTTTGATTTGCTGAACTCCTTATCCTGACAAACAACAATTATTTAAACATACCGGAGACTGCAAGAAAAGGATAAGCTTATCACTGACACGTATGCTTAAGGCACATTTTCTATATCTTAAATCCCGACCTTTATTCCAAATGGAAAAACGTCAAGAATATATGCAAAAAAAGTATTACTTTTTATGACAAAAATTTGAGGGCACATTTAAGGAATTCAATGCAGTCTGATTTAATTATTTTCCCAACAGCGGGCACAAGTCATCATTGATGTTGGCTACTACTATTAGAGGCAGTGGTCACTTTAGTATGGAGGCACCTAGTAGATGGCCCGTCTTTGCCTCCTTTGAACAGACAGAAACATGCCTTCTCGAGGATTCAAACCCGGGCCCTTAGGTATCGCAGTCTACCGATTGGGCAGCGATTCATGTTATTAACTTATAGAAAATCTGCAAATTGAAAAAAAAATTAATTTATAGTATGATATACAGTGGATGGACAAAAATATGGAAACACCTTGTGAAATGCATGTTTGAAAAGAAAGATTGATTTTAATGAAATATGTAGGTGGCGCTGGCGTTTTTGACTACTGACGCCACCTATACAACTTCGTAATGTGTAACAGTTCAGTTGTTGTCGGAGTACTGTTATGTGAGGTTGTCATTGCATTATGTCAGAGTTAACAGACTTCGAACGTGGACAAATTGTTGGAGCACGTATGGTAGGTGCTTCCGTAAGCAAGGTAGCCGAGGGTTTGTTTAGTGTTTCAAGAGGTACTGTATCGAAGATTTATTCCGCGTATTTGAAAAGCGGAAAAACATCATCTGCTAAATCACAACGCGGACACAAATGTGTGTTGAGTGATCGTGATAGACGATCATTAAGGGCAATGTGACGAAAATAAGAAGACCACAGCGCAAAAGTTACTGTTGAAATGAATGTTGTGTTACCGAACCCTGTGAGTACCAAACCAATTAGAAGGGAGCTTCATAAACAGGGAATGCTGGCCGTGCTGTAATTGAGAAGCCACTCATCAGTGATGCTAATGCCCGTAACAGGAAAAAGGTGGTGTCATAAAGCCTGGGACTATAGAGCAGTGGAAACGAGTAATAATGGTCTGACGATCTTCTTTCACATTGTTTCCCACTTCTGGGCGAGTTACGTCTGGAGAACGCCATCTCAAGCCTATAATACAGACTGCTTGTTGCCAAGAGTGAAACATGGCGAGGGGTTCTGTTATGGTTTGGGCAGCCATATCGTGGTTCTCTGCTAGCCCCATGATAACTGTGTCAGGGCACATGACTGCCAAGACTTATGTGAACATTGGACCCGATCAAGTTCATGGTACAAACTTTGTTCCCCGATGGTGATGGTGTCTTCCAAGACGACAAAAGCTCCTGTTCACACAGCTCACATTGTCCAGGACTGGTTTTTGAGCACGAGGATGAGTTGTCCCATCTCCCCTGACCACCACAGTCACCAGACCTGAATATTATCGAACCTTTGTGGTCTACATTGGAACGGAAAGTGCGTTCTCGTTATCCACCGCCAACATCGTTATCTGAACTTGCCACCGTTTTGCAGGAAGAATGGTATAATATTCCCTTGGCAAACATATAGGAACTGTATTTATCCATTCCGAGAAGACTGCAAGCTGTTTTGGATGCCAACGGGTTTCCTACACCATATTAAGCAAAGAAACATGTTTTTTTAAAGGTGTTTCCATATTTTTGTCCAATCCCTGTAAATCTTTTTCAAAGATATGAATATATAGATCTGATTTAACTTTTATTCATACTTAAATAAAGATTAATAATACCAGTTGCGAATTTTTGTAATAAGAATTAATCTCTTTATTTGGGAGTCATTTATATGCGTAATTTGTTTTTCGCAGTTCAAAATTAACAAGTCTAACAAAAGGACCTGACTGACCTACGGGTCTCTACAATCCATGGAAATAAATTCAAGTAATTTTTCACCAAGGCTTGAAAATTATTTACATACAATCTTGTGTATTTTTTCCTTACTTGTTTTGATAAAAAATTAATACACAAAGGAAAGAGAATAAATACATAAAGCAAAGTGTCGTTATTTATTCTTAATTTCTGTTCAGCTGGAGTTTCCTCTCTGAAAATTGTGATAAGTTTTCACAATTTGTTTATATTAAAATTTACGTTTAAAGTAAATTATTTAGTGGTTAATTCAACATATTATAATTTTTTTAAATAAATGTCAGTCCATTCAACATATTATAATTTTTTTAAATAAATGTCAGTCCAAACACTTGACATTTAGCTGCTAGTACATTTGAATTACAAAATGTAACCAAAAGAAATTTGCTACAGACAGAAAATAAGCATGATAAATTAGATTTTTCCCCTTTGCTTTATTACTGTTATTCTTTACATACCTTTCAATAAACATTTACTGTGTGAAATCTGAAATTAAGTAAAAATTTAGCTAGTTATTTGAAATTTAGTTAAAAAAAATTACAGCTGCTTTCAGGTGCATGCGGCCCGCCAGCTGTTCAAGTCCTGGATGTGGCTCGCGTGCAATTTGAGTCTGAGACCACTGAAATAAAGAATAATCGCAGCCATTCCATGTATTTTAGTGCTGCCAATAATAATAACCAAAATCATACAACACCACATATATAACATAATTATTTGAAAGCGAGAATGTAAAACATAGGAAACGAAAATATTTCTCCTTAGTCTATGATTACATGAATGCGCCACAAGGTTTGACTGTTCATGCTATTCAACACTGGCAGGATGGCCTTTAAAAGCATAATTTTTTTAAGTTCACCATTTGCTAAATAACAGAACTCTTTTAAAACCCCTTCGCGCCGACTGTCACGTATACGTGCCAGCAACGAACGCACTTACCTACCGGCCGACAAGCAGGCGTGCCGGAGGATTGTTCCATTCTTTACCGACTGTCACGTATTTGTGCCAGTACTTTGGAACGTGTTTCAAATTATAATTTCTGCCACAAGATGGCACTGTATGTCCATATGGTTTCAGATACATGTAAATTAGACCTTCTACTCGAAATGAGAGCAACATGACTCACATACACGTGTTTTTGGTTATATAAACAAAGGGGGAAATAAATGTTTCCGAATGACGTGATTTATGACGTCTCTTTAAATCGCACTTTATTCGCACGTGGTAGTTGTTTACTGTAAGTAGAGAAGTTTTATTGCTCTAAAGCGTTGGGTATTTCGGTTTCAGTTCAGTTTTAGAAAATAATTAGATCTCGTTAGACGTGAATTCTTTGTTTTTACCGTTGCAATGTCGAAGCGTCGAAAATGTTTAACAGAGCATGAAATGCAGAAATGATGCAAAATATTTCAGATATTGATTCTGATATTCTGATATTGATATGAAGATAATTGAAAGACATTTTCCAAAACTTTGTTTAGAAGAGACTGATAAGAAAAGAGACGACGATGCTTCGTTTGTTCACATTCCCGGGAAAATCCTCCAAAACGGCAAAGATTATTACGAGTGCCAAGGAATGTAACGTAGGCTGTGTAGATCCATTTTCAATTTTTTATACGGAAAGAGAATTTTAAGTAATATATTTATTTCAGAGTTATGTTAAAATTCATAAAAGGTGAGTAATTAAAATAAAAGTGTAAAATTGCATTAAACAAGAAAAAAGGTAATTAAAGTGTATATATAAAAATATTATAAAGCAGAAGCCGTTAAATACTCTAAGAGCTTATTAAACAATGGCGTTGATACTTCGGAAATTTCATGGATTTAGGCTTAGTAGCAAAAAAGCCCCGGCCCTGGAGAGACGCTCGCGTAAGACACTGCCGGCCTCACCGATAAGCGCGCGTTTTCGCTACCCGGCTCGAAGGGGTTAACAGTTCGGGAAATAACGGCATAGAGTCTTTGATATATTACAGCATCAATATGAGGGTTTCTTGGAAATCAAGAAAAAGGATATATGTGCAACATGGAGATTCTCGTGCAATCATCGAGTGATTACTTCGCACATATATAGCATAGAGCAGACTATATGAAGTGGGTCAGTGCGGTAAAGGAGCTCAAATCATAGGAATTCTGAGATAGTTACTAGCATGAAAGTGGCATCATACGCATTTACACAGAATACATATATTTTGTTTTTAATAAGTAGTTTAAACAGAGCAATCAGGTTCAGCTTCGAAACTGACACTTCATTTTGTACTTAAGAGTGGACTTCTAAGGCTATGCAATGCGATCTCTTCTCACTGTTGTTTCTGGCTGCATTATTTCCCTAGATGTTCAGTCAATGAACTCTCATTTACTACAGAAATTAATTTACAGTCACTTACCCCATAAGGCAAAGAGCAGTCCCTGCATTTGCAGTCCCCGAAAAAAAATTCCTTTATAATTTCTGCATCATTTTTTGAGTATATCTGGCAAACCATCGTGAAATAATTCACAGTTAGCTACAAAAAATATACTTAAATTCACTGAAAGACGAAATGAAACTATCTGAAATAAATACCAGTTTAATTATACAAAACATACCTAACAGCACATAAAATATCCACAACTGCTTTCATGTACTCAATAAAAATGCTTATAAAATTAATACAGTACAAAGTCTGTAATTCAGACGTCCATTATCCGGAATAATCTATAGTCCAGACCTCGAAGCCACAAACTTACGCATGCGCGTTAGATCATAATTGCTCTTTATTTCCTAAATTACGGTTTCATATTTTTAATTGTATAATTTCTGCATGCCATCTTACCAGATTTAAATTGATGATCTATAATCCGGAAAAAACCCTTATCCAGAATCGCCGAAGTCCCGACGAGTCCGGATTACGGACTTTGTACTGTATAATAAACTATTAGCAATATAAGAGCAGCTATAATGACATAGCATTTCATTTCGGCGAAAGTACAACTAAAAGAAATAATTACCTCTTCATCCTTCCTGATTTTTTTTGAAGCAAAAAGTTTTGAAATGCTGCCGTCATGACCGAAGAGAGTATTTGGAATACAAGAATGATTCAGTTTAGAAAGGCTAGGGGAGGAAAAAGGAGAATTATATCAATAATAATCATTAATTTGCTTTTCTATTTATAAAATTAAATTAGTAATTTCAAAATAATATGAACTTTGAAATCAATAGTGATTTTTCGGGTAAAATCTGTATTTAGCCTTGAAGTTAATTATAGGTAATCAGCAGATTTAAGTCTTTCTGCACAGCAACTAATATAAAATCTCTACCTAGCAACTTATAAATACACTCAAACATTCAGTTTTCTGTGCATATCATTCATTATTTATATATCAGCTACAGATGTAAAATCTAAAGCTCTATTTCTACTACTGCAGTTCGGACATAGTACGTATGCGATTCCAAATACCAGACAATGAATTGATTTTAACTGATATTATGGAATTGTCAGCTTTGTGCTGATATCTGAATTACCTGTGGTTAAAGTGTTTCCGTTAATATGGCCCTAGCCTGTTTTCTAAAATGCTTGGCTTGTGTTTTAACGAACACTGACAATGTAACATAGTACGTTGACAACTGTAGAGGTATACTTTAAAATTCTGCTTGAGCTTTTACCATTATAAAATGCAGTAAAAAATAACCACGTAACCATCTTACCCAATGAATAGGCAACGTTGTTCAACATTTTCATCTGCATATGGAACTGGAATATCGAAAACACTAGTCTTAAATGGTATTTTGGAAGAAAAACTGTTAAATCGCACCTAAAAATTAATAGAAAAAGCATTAGAAAATGTAAAAGAATATTTAAAAAGTTTTTGCTCACAAATATATATAACATATATTACTCCTTCTGCATGATTTCTTACTTTAATTACTTCACGAATTATGAATTTGTTTTAAATACCCTCACAAAAAGATAAGGGAACAGGTAAGATTTCAAGGTCTCAGCTATAGTCTTTAGATACGACTTTACCAGTCAAATATTTCCCCGAGCAATTTCCATGGTTGAATCTGCCGCATGACAGCCTCATACCATCTTGCAACACGAGTGATGACGCTCATTCTCGTATAGTAATGCAATGAACTCTTTTGTAAGTATGATGCTCATTCTCATACAGTAATGCAATGAATGAACTTGTCAGTATCTCAGCAGGTTTCAAACATCCACGGTTATTTTAAAGAACAGGGCCCAGTTATATGTTATTTTGACATTGAATCGCAGATTCCTATATTTGCAAAGCGCAGAACCTCCTCTACACCCTCAACAGATGCAAGTTTTCAAGCTGCACGCTAGATAATATTAAGAACAGGCAAATCATTAAGATGAAACCATGCCTTATCTATGATGAACATCTGATATAATTAATACAAAATAATACAGAAATCAAAGAATCACTACAAGCAAACAACATCTGATATAATTAATAAAAATAATACAGAAATCAAAGAATCACTACAAGCAAACATGTCTCTTCGCTCCTGGAGCAGGGAAATGATGTTCTCGTGCATCCACGACTTTGGAACGTTGAGCGTTACTCCAAGTGATTTCTCCTCTGCTTCGATTTCTCCGAAGCGATTTCTGATATTAACCCCCCCCCACACACACACACACATACAGAAGGCAAAAAGAAAATAAAAATTTTCTTTTATTTTTTAATCCAAATATCAGAAATCTGATATTATACTACCGTGTATTCCCGCATATTAGCTAATCCGTGAGTTGAGTTTTCCTTTCAGAAGTTTACCCAAAATTCAAAACCTGCATATAAGCCAAACTGAAAGGGGGTGATTCCTCTACTGTTCAAGGTCTGTAAACTTAATAGAATATTTTCCAATCCAATCGCTGTAATGTAAAATGCTAAAGCTAACGATGTTAGTATTAACTCTGGTAACCTTTCTGAAGCTAGCCCTTTTTTTTTCATTCATTTATTGTGTTGTACACAGGAGTCACTTTAACTTGAAAATTCTTGCGAGCGTACAGCTACAGCTACGCAAGTGAGGTAACGGCATACTAAAGGGACTACCCAAGTAGCACATGACGTTGCAAACTGGTTCGAGAGGTGGCTAAGTGGTCGTGGTAACGTCTTTGCTACGTCATGTGCTACTTGGGTACGGCCGACCTAATGCAAACGACAGCAACGCCCCTAGTTGCGAAATTTGGAAAATAGACATTACAAATCGAAAACGGAAAGAGATAGAGCAAAATTTCCAATCAGAAGGGTATACAGGAGACAATTTATCTTATCCGTGTGAACCAAATGCTGTTTCATACTAATTACTTGACGCTTTAAAATTTTTTAACCGGAAATTTTGCTCTAATTCTTTTGTTTTCGATTTCCAATAACTATCTTTCAAATTTCGCCACTAGGAGCGATGTTATCGTTTGCAGCAGGTTGGGCGTAGACCTTTACTATACCTTGCATAGCTGTAGCTCTCTTTCAGGTTAAAGAGACTTTCCTATGCATCCTCTATGCTACGCGATAGTCTTATTTTCCACGCCTAGTTTATTGTTTTGTTTGCAAGATGAGGAGGAAAAACAAATTCTAATTCCTATATATTGAATTTCATACAGATGATCACATTGGTTGAAAATTCTACCAAGAGTATGGCTGCTCGGCATTTCTCCGTAAATGAAAGACAAGTTCAAGAAAAGAGAAAGCCCAGCACTAATTTCGCCACATTCAGATCTTTCGTTTTGGCGACAAAGGAACAAATACGCATTAAAAATAATTTCGAAAATTAAGCAACTCCTCTTTATAAGACGAAGAACTCATTTCATTTAGAATTATTTCTTTTCATTAACTTCAGAAATATAAACTAAAGAAAAACGAAAGTATGAAATTAGGCGATTTATCGCTTTCCCACGGCTAATGGAAAAGTACTTATGTTTTCTGCGAGATTAGCGGATATGTATATATGCCGACCCTCGCAATTTACATCTAGAAAAGGTTTCAAAAATTCTCGGCTTATACACGATAATGGATTTTTCACTCATATATAAAGTTACGATATACTTAAAAAAATGCAGTATTACTAATAACGATTGCACTTGAAACATCAAAACCATTTCTAAACATTTATAAAGAAGAAATTTAAAAATCCAAAAGCCCAATGCTTATTATTTATATTTAACATGCTTATTTACAAAAAATAACAGCTACGTGACATGATCTTAAATCTGCAAAATTTTAATTTAATTTTAATTTTTTAAATTTTATTTTGCCTTCCCTTGCCGTTTTCTGGCAACCATAAACCCGCTTTGCGGGAAAGCTATCTTACCGCAGCTAGGCATTTCGTAACAATATAAATTTCGACAATATATATTACATGTGCATTTTTCATAACTGCAATAATCTGGTAAAAGATAATTCGCCTATACTTATTTCAAAATCTACTGTTATGATTTAGTTACGGTGAAAGAAAAGCGTATTTACGTTAAGCTAGAAAATATTTTCGAAAGAAATATATATTTTTACTTCTGAAATGGGCCTTAGTCCAGAACGGCTATTAGTCTCGAAATGGCATTTTGCGTCGAATCACTAAAAGCGTTGAATCATTCTTTAAATTGTCGCCAACAAATATCATCGTCGTGTATTATATTTAAAGAAATTAAATAATAAAGAACTTGCATGAGTATATCGATGTTTCCCGCATTGTGAAAAAACGATGGTTCCTAGAGCCATTAAATTTTGAATAACGTAATCCTCCACCCGAATCTGGGTACATGGAAGCCCGAATTTTGAATTTGTTTTATTATCTTTTTCATATTTCGCGACACTCAATGATTTCAAGGCAGGCAGTGGCAATACTGTACGGAATAAAACATTTTTATCTCCAACCTGCGAGACTCGCAAATTCTTAAAGATATGCTGTTTTTAAATATTTTTAACCCAAAGAAGCATTAGCCCAAATGCTGCTGAAACGGCTTTCGAAAAGTGTATTTATGAGTAAGTGTGTGTGTGTGTGTGTGTGAAGAGGGGGAGAACGGCCGCTTTGCGATACAGTCATTGAACGCTGGTAGTTCGGTCTAGAGTTCAAATCCAGGCGAACTGACCGGATGCATGAGCGTTTTCATGGTTTTCCCCATGTGTAACTAAAATGTACATGAGCTAATTACTCTTAGAAAAATCCTCCAAGAAGGCATCTCTAAACCTTAGGCAGATAACCGTCGAAGTGCTTTGCTATAATAAATCAAACCAAATATTGTCAATTCTATAACGAAGACTTTGACAAAGCCCATCAGTTTCAGTAGAGCTATTTTCGCGATTTATATGTAGTTAGATTCGGAAGCATTAAATCTAGAGTTTAATAGAAGAAATAAGGACTTTCAAAAATACCTGGCCAAATTCAGTAACGCAAAAATACATCCTAAAATCATTATTCTAAACGCAAAAATTAAATAAATAAAGCAATACGCAGTATTACAACATTACACAAAAACAAAAATGCAATCACACAAGATTTCAATATTTCAAAAATTTACAGCAATATTTATTTCTATTTGAAATTTTCAAACTTTTTCCATTTCTTTTTTAATGTATCCAGTCATGTAATTTTGAAACATCAAAACTTTGTGGCTTCAAAATACCCAACAAAGTCCCCCCCTCCCAATCTCACTAGACTCACATCACTAGCCCTAACTCATGTTGAGATTGGACAGAAAAATTTATGAATTAATTACGATCAGTTATAAATAATTTTGTTTAGAACAAAAGCCAATTTTTTAACTATGAAAAAAAAATCTTGAACATTTTTATTTATCATAAATAAATAACTTCCCTTCTCTCTTTGTTGACCCTCTTAAAAAATCATTTTAATAAAAACATCAAATTTTGGAAGGGTGAAAAGTATATTATGAACAATTTAGACAAAATGGCAAATAGTAACTTATTTTCACATTTTGTGTTCTAAAATATGAAATTTTTTCTTGTTACACTATCACGAGTTTTAGCATACCTTTCCTATTATTTCAAAAAGCTTGTCCTCTTGTGGTGTGTTCTCTTCACCAATATATTTCTTGACTTTCGATGCTGTTTCCTTGAAGAATAACTTCAGTTTAGGGTTAGAATCCAATGCATCTGTATCTTTAGAAATAAAATGAAAACAATAATTTTCTCTATAATTAATAATAACAATTTGTTATTAATGCATATAATAACATTTTGGAGCTTTCCATTTATTCTTGAAACAAATTTTAATAATTTGTTCCAAAAGTAATTAAACGCAAAGCATATTGTGAAAACTCTGCAAATGTTAAAGCAGTCTCAAAAAATTATTCTTTATGAGAAACCACCAGAAGAAAAAGAATTTTGCATTACACTCATGGCTATACATGGTTTTAATATATGGATACGCAGAGTCGTTCCTAGCTAGTTTTTTATCTGAGGTATTGTGCCGCGGTATACAATCAATTTCGGTGGTGGAACTCAGCTGACAGGGGCCCTAGACCCCTAGAGGCGACCCACGGAGGCATAACGTGACCTTCGAGAGGGAGAAGGCCATGACACTTAATAAACATAGCGGAGCTTTCCGTCCGACGTTATCGTCGGAAAGTCGTTTGAATTTTTAAATTTTCGTCGAATTAACTTTATCTGTGCTGAGTTATTAAATAGATGAAAGAAAGGAGGCTTTATAAAATACACACTTTGTAAGCGTTTACAGATATTATTAACCTTGTGCATAAATTAATTGAACGGACCGAAAAACAAAGAACATACAAAATTTAAACGATGATTGAAAACTCCCTGTCATATAAATGGGAAAGGGTCTTAAGATAATAATTAATATTGTACCTAGCTCAAGTAAATTTATTCGGTTTCACAGCAAAATATTAACAACAACTTTAAATCGCCCCATATAATGAATCTAATAAATAGCTAATAAATGTGATAAAAATATTTCATACAAAACATACCTAAATCTTATAACAAAAAAGTCTTCCAAACATTAATATTGAAATGAAATAAATAATAACAAAAACAGACGCAACTGGCAAGAAAAAAGCATATACATGTATCATATTCCCATTATCTAAAATTTAGAAGCTAAAATCAGTTATGACTGTGACAGAAATGGTATGCTAAGAAACATCCGCAGTACTACTAATATGGACTCATAAATATGCATTTTTAATCTATAATTTCAAAAAAAATTAAATCTTAAATTAACTGCCAAACTTGAGTTTGTTATTTTCTCTTGGATTTGTAGTATAGCTCTTGGTATTAGGAATACGAATGTTGCCAAGTTAAGTATCGTTTTTAAATTAAATTTGAAAAATACATTCCATTTTCATTGTTAATTTGGTCTTACATGCTTGTGATCGCAAAAAAATTTCAAGATAAATGGGAAAAAACTTTTTGTTGTGTGCTATTTAATGAAGGCAGATTTAAATGGCAGTTCTTTACTATTTGTAGATTATTCAAATATTTCTGCGCAGTATCCAGGGGAAAGTACCCAAGGAATGTTATAGATTGAAAAAAAGAATATAATAAAATGACCGTGAGAATCTGCCAATGTCTAAATGTAGTGTTAGAATATTATTAATAGGATCGAAAGAAACGAGTGTTAAAAGTCATCAGCATGACTACTAATTATGACTTTTAACAGCTTGCCTATTTAAAAGAGATTAGTAATGATTTTTTATTAATAAATGGAAATAGTAGTTCTGTACTTTTTTCTGGTAACTTTCAAACACTGATGTTTAAGGTTTTTTAAAAATATTGCCAAATACCACTAAATAGTCAAAGATTTCTTTACATACGCTGCAGATAGACGAAGTTGATGGTTATATCTTTTGCTCTGAAACAGCGAAAATTTAATACTTGAAGCCTAGAGTATAACAATAATAACTTATTATTTAAGAAAAAACGTTCCCCATTTATCATGGACAGTGCAATTTCATTAGCGTTTAAATTTTTTTGTAAATGTTCGTTGTTTTTCGTCTTTCATTATATTATGCACAAAGTGGTTTTAAATTTAAAAGATCTGTAAAAGCTTTAAAAAAGTGTGATGTATATTAAAGCCTCCTTTCTTTCAGCTTTTTTAATTAACTAACCAACATGATAAAGGTATATTTCCGACGAAAATTTAAAAATTCAGACAACTTTCCGACGATGTTTATTAAGTGTCATGGCCTTCTCCCTCTCGAAGGTTACGAGCATAACCCCCCGTGAACCCAGGGTGGCAATTTTAATCTCCCAAAGTCTGGGTTATTTCACTCAAAGCCACAGTGGTGGACATCTACGTATCTACCTAAAAATCAAAGTACGTTTGTTGGACATCGACCGTTCTTCAGTGTTGACCAAGGGGAGCCAAACGTCCAAGCACAACCTTTGATATCAAAGCACCTAACGTCCCCACAACCAAGAGGCAGAAAAGACCGTACAATAAAGTTCCTCCTGAGCTTGAACCTACTACCGTATAAACTAGGGGTCTTCAACGTTCACGCCTGAGAGCCACATCAATAAATTCACAAAGATCCGCGCGGGCCACATGTCTGTCAAAAAAAATAGTGTAGTCTGAAAATTTATAGAAGAAAAGGAGGTTTCTTTTGTAAGACTACAACTGATTCTAGGCTAAGAGAGAGTGTTACACATTTGTATATACCGG